CGTAAGGTCATTAGACCGCAAACTCAATGAACCGTAAACCCATTGAACCGTAAACTCTTATGGTCATGCCACTTGGACCGTAAACACCTTAGGGTGGCCATACACCCTTGGTATGCAATCACATGTGATTGCAGCACTTAAATTTAAGTGTATCCTATGTCCTAGGGTGTTTCCTTTCATGATTAGTTGTATAAACACTAATTATATGCTTATATGTATCATTATATGATAAATAGGATCCGTGTGTGTGCTCAAGTCTTCACTTGGCACTTAGCATCCTATACCACTCGTTCATCCAAACCACTCACTACAGGTGAGTTCATACCCCTTAATCTATCTTTTAAATTATTTTAAATGCTTTTATGGGGGGAATACAAGTAGAAAACATGTTAGTTATACAATCAATCACATGCGATTTATAACTATGTTTCAAACAAAGGGTTTCATATACTTCAAACTGTGTTTCAAACAAAGGATTTCTTATACTTTCAAACTGTATTATCAATCAAACTGCTTTTAAATCGTTTTATAAATTGACATCAAGTCATCAATATTTATTAATTAAACTCTTCAAATGTTTTACAAAACTTCTTTTTAAACTTATATATTGTCAAAAGCATGTCTATATATGTATAGTTATATAAGTAATGTTTAAAGGACTTAGGACTGATAACTCGTTTTATTTCCTTTTCCTTGTTTGGATGTGGCCTTAGGGTATCGGTTATTTGTCCGAATGTCGTCTAAATATTAGTTATATATTATGTATACATATGTAAACTATAATAGGTATAGTTTAGGAGAATACTATCATATACAAATACTATAACAGAGAATACTATAACAGAGAACACTATAACAGAGAATACTATAACAGAGAACACTATAACAGAGAATACTAGATAGAGAATACTATACAAAGGATACTATACAGAGAATACTATACATAGAATACTATTACTATAACAAGTATACTATAACAAGATTCAGATATAACATAATGTGAGATACTACTTCATGACACATCGACCATTTCGTTATGTCACGTTTTGTAACCAGAATCTCCTGGAGGGAGAGCGTGAGTTTGCGTATATATCTATACTGGATTGACTATCCTACACCTTGCTGTTCGCTACAGTCGGACTTGCAAGTCTACGGGTGCCAAATGTCATTTCTTCCGATGTCTTTCATCGTCGTGTTATAGTCGGTTTAGTATGGTAACAATCTTATCACATTTTGCCTTAATTAAACCATTGGTTTTAAGGTAGTTATTACTTCAGTAGTTAATAAAAAATAATACTGCAGTACACATACATTTTTCCCATTATATTCAAATTGTGATCTTCTCACATAAAGGGTAATATAAAACTATATTCTGGTAACGATAGTCACATTTGGGAAAAGTTTCCACTTTTACAGAGAAACAAACATACAAAATAGTCGGGTCTTGGTAGAAGACTACTTTTTAATACTAGTAGAAAATATAGGATTTTCTAGGAGTTTTTCAAACATATACAACATTTACATTGAACATTTACAAACATTTTCATCAAACTTATACAAACATCGACACTACTTATGAACTCACCAGCTTAAATGGTGATCTACGCTTTCAAAATAACTTGTATTCTCAGGTCACCAGCAGACAGGTACCGATGACCAGGTTTTGAGAAGACGGAGCATGTTCAAGACTCGTCTTTTATTTTGATTATTCATTTTTGGTGTCTTATTACTATTAAAGAACACACTTGTATGAAATTATATTATTAATGCAATGGATGATGTTGTTACTTATTTACTACTTTGCATTGTTATGATACTGTACATGACGTCCTCCACACCCGAACATTTCCGCCGTTCCGGTTTTGGGGTGTGACATCGTGTGTAACAAGCGGGGTCTTAAGGTGAAGATGTCTTTTAATTCTTATTGGCAATATAAACTAGCGTTATATCCTACGATTTTGAGTACTTTAGTGTACTGGCAAACTAACATAATTTCATTTGTTTATTTTTCAACGACTGGATGCAAAAATAGGCAAATTAGTTTCTTTTCACAGTAAATAGAAACATACTTTTATCTTTCTATTTTTTGTGACTTAACGCAAGAAGGGAAAGTTAATTTATTTATTTTTCATGCTAAGTAGCAATGTACTTTCCTTTGTCTATTTTTTATAACTAACCTACTCAGAAATGACGAAATATTAGTAAAGTAATAGATACTTTTGAGCTCGTCGACTCGATTATGTGTTAAAAAGTATATTGAATTACAATAAAAACAAAATTATATTTGGAATTCATATCAGTGGCAGAACTCAATGAGGGTCAGGGGAGGCCATTGCCTCGCTTATAACTATTAATATTAAGGTTGTCAGAATCGATATCTTACTTAAGATCATTTTAGGTTTTGCAAGATCATGATCGTAAGATTCGGTATGAAAACGTATACATTGAAGCAAAACTGAAGCCCAACATTTAGCTAGAAAATTATATATTTCTTTATTTAAACACTAGTTTATAACCCGTGGGAACCACGATCACAAAATTAATTAAACTTTTATAGTAAAAATTCAAAGTTATTAATTAATTATTTAAATAAATTATTAATTAAGAGATTTTTTTAGTTATATAATATTATAATCATTGGTTTAAATAATTATGTTAAATTATATCTATTTATAATTTGTATTAATTTAATTTTAATTTTTATTTTAAGGCTATTAATTTAATATAGATAGAGTGGGAAATTTAAATTTTAAATTTTAAAATTTAAAATTTAAAATTAATAATCAATAGGTTGACAAGTGGCAATTATTAATTAGGATACATAATAGACTGACAAAAGAAGAATAAAATATGCATTAATTAAGAGATCTAGTAAGGTGACACATATCAAAAGGAGAATAAAACTATTTTTTTATTAGAATAGGAAGATTAGGGGCGTGTTTGGCATGAAGCTTTTGGAAGCGTTTGGGAGCTTCTAGCTTTTAGCTTTTGACAAAACGCTTTTGTTTAAAGAAAAAGTTTCGTTTGGTAGTACGAGCGTTTAGCTTTTAGTTAAAACAAAACGTTACAAATCTAAAAGCTACTTCATGTAGCGTTTAACAAAACGCTACTGAGCTTTTGAAATCAATTTCCATAATTACCCTTAAAAATATATTTATATAGTTATTTATTTTTAATCAATTGTCCTTTTATGTAATTTTATATATTTCAAAAGTTTTCAGCTACTTTTGCCAAACACTCATATAACAAATAAAAGTTACAGCTTCCCGCTACCAGCTACCCGCTACACGCTACCCGCTACCCGCTACCAGCTATCCGTTACCCGCTTCCAGCTAACAACTACTTTTGCCAAACACACCCTAGGTATGACCCACTTTCCATCTCCAGGATATACTTCTATCGTTCCTCCACTTATTTATTTATTTATTTATTTTGATTGATAAAAATGATAGATAAATAAATTTATATAACTAACGATGTGGATTTACACTACACCCGTTCTTCTTATCTCTAATTTCTTAATTTGCATTTTTTCATCATGTCTTGTAGATATATTTGTTAAAATTTTATATTCATATTTCCATTTATATATATACTAGGCCAATTTCTACTCTATTAAATGAAAATCTTTTGCCATATATCACATCCTTATTGATTTGATCACATGTTATTTTGTGGTTATTTTCAATTAAAATTTTTCCACATGACATTTTGTGGGTTTTTTTCTTTTCATTTTATCAAATTCCACATAATATTTAAATGTAATAATTATAAAAAATATAATAATGAATACATATCAATTTTATTAATTGACTTTCCTTTTAATTTTAAATTTTCGAAATTAAAACCACATTGGTTTCCTTTGTTTATTTATCTAAATTATTTGTTTAAATTAAAAAAAAAACACTTTAATTTTAATAATTCAATATTTTTCTAACTTTCTTATAAATTCAAACCTTTAAATGTTTAGAATTTCATATTTAATTTTTTTTAAATGAATCCATGTAATACATGGATTTTACACCTACTATGATAGTACATAAATCAAGCGTTTCTTTAATACCAAATGGAGTTCTTAAATCATGTAAAAAGCTTTATTTTTATTCATTATTCTTTTTATTTTACAACTCCTATTTACATTCATTGCCCATTTCACATTCATTAGCCATTTTCAGTGTAAATGAACTTGTTAGTGAGCTTTTGAATGACTAAAAGATTAGTTTAGAGGAACTTTCTCAAAAGATTAATTTAGTGTAAATGGTGCAAAACTTCAAAGACGTAAAAAAATTTATATCTTTGAAAGGCTGATGAGTTTTCACTTTGACGAACGATTTAAGAATATTTCATATTAATTGTTATGTTTATATTTTTATGTCATAAGCTTTAATCAAATACAATAAAATTTAGTATTATCCGATTAACCACATTTTACTCTTCTTGCCTTGAGCTAAGCTAGTTTTGCAGCTTATCCTAGACATACTATTCTCTCAAACATTATAGAACGATTAAAAGTATAAAAAACTTATAATTTTTCAAGGCATTACCCTTTATGGCCACTATCTCCCCATTTGTCGAGATATACAATCTAACATCTGATTTATCTCTCTACAAAAAAAAAAAAGACAAAACAAAATGGAAGTAACCAACACCTAATACAAATATAAGTAAATATTAGTAAAGTAGTAGATGTTTTTTACCTCGACTCGACTATAGTATGTACATACATAACGACACATTAGTAGAGTAATAAATACTTTCAAGCACGGCTTACTCGATTATGTATTAAAAAAAGTGAATTACATGGATTATGAAATCCGTTAATAAAATAGTATAAAATAGGGTAATTTTTTGGTGTTTTTTTTTCAAAAGAAAAAGTAACATTTTTTTATTATTATTTTAAATTCTAATTTACATGCCAATAACTTTAAGAAAAAAGGAAAATACTAAACACAAATTCTAATTCAGTGTATATATTTCCATTTTTACAACTCCCAAAAGCCATGGTACAAAAACTTATATCACTACTAGAAACTTGAGTTTCAGCGATGATTTAGCGAGAGATAAATTCTGTAGCAAAGTTTAAGGCTTATAGCTAGGGATTTACGACAGATGTGCGATGTTTTAGACATTTAGTTTATTTATTCCACATATTTCATATGAGCGAGGTTTTATTAAGGGATCAACTACGGATTTTGCAAGTGTTTATTGGCGCACCTCAATCCCTCGCCAATCGGTAGAAAATGAAGGCATTTCAGCGAGGGTTCAGAGGCAGATAGAGAAATTGTCGATTTTTGCCATCTAGTATGCGTTTAGTGAGAGAACGCCGACATAAATTATTTTTGGGGTACGCGCGTTTTTGTTTTACAATCACCTATCTCTCGATGAAATTGGCGCAACCCAATTCCAGTTTCACAAAATTGTTGTAAGTTTCCTTCCCTACCAAATCCGATTGATCACTTTGGAGTTAGTTCCTTATCCCATGTTAACCTAATATCACCATCTCCTTTCAAACATATGACAACACAACTCATCGTTGATGCTTCTGATTCCGGCAACCTCCATAAAATCTAAAAGTAGTTTTCATTAATCTCGGATTCAGGTAAATCTCTTGATTTTCTTTTATTTAGTCGTATATTATGTTAGGTTTAGTTCAGTTGCACAATATATTGGGTTAGAGTTTAATTTCCCCCATTTTTCTATTTCAATCAGCATCCCTCTTATACCTCAATATCACATGTACGTTCACGTTTAATCGATTGCATCATGTAAGTAAAACCTCTATTTGTGATTCCTGAATCTCATCTTCTAACTCGACATGTTCCTTCATCTCTTGAATGTTTGTCACAAATCAATTGCTATTTTTCTTATTCCTCACAGATAACTAATAAATTTTTACATCTTCTGCCCTCTACTTGATATGTATTACAAAGATGGAAATATGACTTTGGATGGTTAATCATGTAGTAGAAATAATTTTTTTGGAATACTTGACTCCTTTTTCGTCTTCTTTTTTTAGTGATGTCTGTAGATAAATATTGATGTTATTTTGTGTGTTGAATGAACTGCAGATGACAGTAAATGACTGTTCTACACCTCTGTCTGTAACTATTGTATTATGAAAATTGATTATTTGATAAATGTTTTGAATGAAAATATTAAATGGCAATATATGTAGCATAATGATAACAAATTCTATCATATTAAAGTAACAAAAGACATGTTTTAGCCAGGTTTCATGTTCTTGGTTTAAGGTAATTCTTTGTGCTTGTTTTGTTTCAATCGTTAATTGCATTTCAGAATTAGTCAAAGGCTACTAACATACTATACTCAACTGCCTATATTTCTAATGGCTGTGAAATTTTGATTTTATAAGTACCGATTTTCATGTTAATTTGAAATGGAATAAGGATTCCGCCTTAACCGCTGGAGATGTATACGTCCTAATTGGGAGCCCTCCGGTTTTCCATTTAAGGTTTCTCTCTCTTTAATTTTTCATTTCTTTTTAACAACAATTTCTACAACATTCTAAGAAAAATCATTGATCATGGTTTTTGTGTTTTTTAAGGTGTGGTTGGTTTGGTAAGGGTGAAGAAAGTAAGAACATTAACAATGGTATTGGTAGAAGTGTGGGAAAGGGATTTTCTACATTGGAATGGGTTGGTAGTCTTACTAACATAAGCGTAGGTGATCTGCTCTCTGAGGTATCTCATAATGCAGTGGGTCCCACTCCATGTCATCAACAGATTTCATATAGTTGTGATTCCTTTGATGCTGCAATTGCTGCCCACATTAACAAGAATCATCATGCCAAAAATAATGGATTCCATTCCACCACTATTCAATCTTCAATTTATGATGCAGAGGAAACATGTGATGCCTTTTCCTTCCCTAAGAATACTGAGAAACTACAGATGATTCCATGAACCTATCTCAACCAGGTAAACTAAAACTTACCATTTTCTTTTCACCAATCACCATTTCTTTTTTATATAATATACTTTTATCTTTTTGTTTGTTGATAGAAATCATGTGAACCAGAGGAGCCGAAAGAATGTGAGTTTGATGAAAATCATATTCCTGCCCCAAAGGATCTCACCTCACTCACTGATATGTATTGGGTATGTATTGTGTTGTATTGTCTTTAGTTTTTTTAGTCAGAAATAATGGATTTTAATTTATTGTTTAATTGCAGCCGGAGTCTTTAGGACATAATGATTAGATGAGACATATGGTATAAGAAAAGAAGTGAATTATGCCACTAATTTCAAGGTGCACCACCTTTTTTCTTATTCTTCCTATAAATCTTCCATATGCTTTGTTGGGTGTCGATCTATTTGTAACTTCTTGCTTTTTTATTAAAATACAAAGATATAAATGCCTTCCTTCTCCTCTTCATCATCAAAAATAGCCATATAAAGCTTGTTTGGTCCTACTACCTGATGCTTTTTTTACTTGATTCACGTTGCAGGATCTTCATAAGCTCATACACACATGACCTATGCACAAAAGAGAAACCTGGATAAAGAAAAACAACATAAGGATGATGTGTAAAGCATATTATTTGGGTTTGTTTAACTGAACAGGAGAGAATCTGACTCTAGGGTAGTCAAAAAAACTAAAGAAGGCAACCTGCATTTACCTTTGTATAAGTATAAAGGTTTTATTCAGACATTGTAGTTATTTAGAAGAGTTCATGATAGACTGTTACCTTTTTTTTCTGTAATGGTAGAGTGCTGATAAACCATTTAAGCTTTTTTTTTTTTTACAGGTGAAGCACAATTTTCAGTGTTACATGATTATAAGTGAATCCAAGGTGTATCCTGAGGTCCTTTCTCAAAAGAATGCTATCACAAACTCAATCATGATCCTGTTTTTGACTATTTCAACAATTGGCTGCTTGCAAAGTATGTCTTTTTCACATGTGAAACAAATTGAAAGAGACACTAAGACAATTAACCGTTATTTATGTTTGATTAACAGCGGATAATCTTTTCTTCACAATTGTACATAATCATGGAAACTTGTTTATTATCTGTATATATATATGTTTTGGTTTATTAAGATCATTTGAATGAGCATAATCTTCAATCGCGTAAAAATATTCAAAATGGGAAAGCTTTATATTGTTTATTACCTTTTACTTTTTATAAATAACTAATGATTAAAAAAACATACTATAAAATGGTTAATGGCTTTGCTTCGCTGTTATTGATTTTTGTCCTCATGTTTCTCTCTCGTTGTGGAAGGGTATTTCATCGAATAGGATCAGAAAACCAGTATTTTGATTGTATACTTTTGGGGTGAATTTGTGTATGCCAGTTGAGTAGGCTGGATGTATTTCTAAAGGCTAACTGTGTGAAGGTGAATGCTGATACCCCTCAAAAGCAAGTCAGATTTTTGACACTCAATGGTCAGTTTTATTTGTCTGTTTACTTCTCCAAATTTGTGTTGTTCATTCAAGTTCTATGGGTGATCATTCTTGTCCTCAAATGAAACATGCAAACAATTGATACACTAGAAGTTTGCTCTCAGATCCACCTCAACTGTTATGGAATTAAAGATTAGTGTTTAATTATGCATATTTTTATTAGAAAACCTTGGTCTATGATTTGTTATTATATATAGATATTGGTATGATTTTTAAGTTAATTTACAAATTTGGTCCTTATAATTTTTAATGTAATTATCAGTGGCTTCTTTACAACTATCTTGGATAGGGGTGATGAAATGATCTTTCTTTGATCCAAACTCTACTGCCAAAGTTCATGTAAGTTCTTTCTCATTTTTTTGATATAAAAGAGAACTCTATTTTTTTTTGTAAAAGATCATATGTGCAGTTGAAATAATCTATTTATTCCAACTTTAGATAATATGTGCAGTTGTGCTGATAAAGAAGGATAGTTCTATAATTTTCTTCCTAATTAAAAATCTTGTAGATGCTCTGTAATAGTCAACACGATATTTTTCTTTCACCAACATGTATTACCATTTACTTTTTGGTCAGAATGGGAATTCAATTCCATTCCGGTCCAACACTTGGTTTCAAATGCTTCCATTAAAGTCTCCTTCCATTGCAGGAAAAAGTAAGTGGCACTTGGTTCGCCTAATTCAACGAGATTTAACAGGAATCGGAATCCAATTCCGATTCCAATCCTTCTTTTGGATGCAAGATATGAAACAATAGAAAAGATATATTCAGAAATGAAAAATATGAGAGGAAATTGAGAAATATGGTTATATTATATTTTGAAATCAAATAGCAATGAGTGTTTAACTTTGGCATTTCATTGTTAATGTTTGGTTTTTGATTCTATATTTATTTGATATTTTTGGTATTTAAAAGATAATGTTTGATTTGGGATTGTGTAATTATTTTATGTTTTAGATTTGTAATGCAAAAAAAAAAGTTGATATTAATCATTTGCGAGGGATCTACAATGGAAAAGAAAAAAAATAATATATTAAATTTGAGAGGGATCAGCGACAGAATATAAAAAAAACATAGAATAGAGTTTTGCGAGGGATTAGCGACGGATTAATGGTGCTGAGTTTTGTCGCCGATGTCATAAATAATTGTATTAAGTGACGAATTTGCAATGGATGATCCGTCGCTAAGGTCGTCGCAAGGAAAAAGTAATCTGTCGCTAAATATGTCGCTAGGTTATTAGCCACACTTTAATTGGCTAGAGAGTATGTTTATCGCTTATCTGTCACAAATGTCCTTTAGCGACGGAATAGCGAGGGATTTGTCGGTCTCTGAAACCCTGTTTCTAGTAGTGTATACATTAAATAAATGGACATCATAAATCCTTAATAATAATATGCTTTGAAAAATTAAACTGGAACGTACAACCACATTTTCATAATCAAAGATTGTAGATATTTAGTTTTGACCTCTTGTATTTTGGTTGCATTTTCCCATGAGCAAAACATCATCAACATATATGAGAGCAACCACATGTGTGGTTTCGGTTTTAAAAATAAACAAAGAATGATCCGTTTTTGATTGTTTGAAGTGGCCAACTATAAGAGCCTTAGCGAACTTTTCATACCATTTTTTGGAGGTTTGTTTTAAGCCATATATAGACTTTTGTAACTTGTGTCACACCCCAAAACCGGAACGACGGAAACGTTCAGGGGTGGAGGACGTCATGTTTAGTATCACAAGATATGTATATGGCAAACAAGTAATGAACAACCATTTCATTTAGAAAGAAAGTGTTTACAATGTGTGTGTTCACAAAACATAGGATTCATAAACAAATAACAAAACAAGACTTGAAACTATAATGCTCCATCTTCTGAATTCCCAGCACGAGCACCTGTCTAATAGTCTCATGAGAATACAAGTTATTTGAAAGAGTTGATCAGCAATTAAGCTGGTGAGTTCACAAGATTTTAGTGATGTAAGTAAGTAGTAAGAAAGTTTGTAGAAAGTTGTAGTAATTTGTAGTAAGTTCTGTTTTAGAAAAGTTTGCATGTTCCTCCAGAAAATCCTATATTTCCTGCTTTGATGAAAGATAAGTAAATATGACTCTTACAGTCCTTTCTATGAGTATTAAATGGATACAAGTTATATAAAACCCAGAGTAAACAAACAATCGGTTGTGTGTATCTGCCCTAAGCCCACAACCAAACAAGGAACAGGAAATGAGGCGGAAGACACACATCCCATTGTTTGTTAGATCATCGTTGTATATAACCCCTGCGTATTCACTTGGTACTCACGGAGTTAACTGTAATAGTTCCTTTATATTTGATGAAAAGATCCTTTAAGAAAACCCTTATTTCTTATAATAAAATGGTGACCACAATGACTACTTTTACAATAACTTAGTTTATACTGGATATATATGATCTAATATCGGATAGAGAGTTAATTGGGTGAATCTGCCCTAAGCCCACAACCAAACAAGGAACAGGAAGTAAGGCGGAAAACACACATCCAACTACCTATTGGGTATTAATTATATATAACCATGATGTATAAACTAAGGTATTATAGAGTTAATCACTTAAGGTCCTTTAAGTTTGTACTGGTTTAATAAAACAGATTAAACCCTTTACTGGGAAGTTTCTAGTTTTGTATACCAAAAGTATTGATTTTGGAAAGTATGTTTTGTACTAGAAAAACTGTGTTTTGACTCCGTGTCCTATAACCTTGTCACACCCTGAAACCGATGGCGGAAACGTTCCGGGGCGGAGGACGTCATGTGTAACATCACAACCAATGAATAATAGCAATCATAGCAACACAACCAGTACAGTGAATACTCAAATAAAAATGTTTACATCAGTTTGAAACTTTGTCTGAAACTTTGTTTGAATTACATTCAATAGCTTTGTATAGTATAAACTTAAAACTCTTATTTCTCCAGTTCCTCGAAAATCCAGCAAGTACCTGTCTACTGATTTCTTGAGAATACAAGCAGTTTGAAAGAGTATCAGCATAAAGCTGGTGAGTTCATAAGCGGTGGTTTGTAGTGAAAATCGTTGATGAGTTCGTAAGATATTTGTATAGTTCCAATAAAATCCGATATTTTCTTTAATGAGAAAGTAGTGTTTTCAATTCTGTATAAACTATGAATGTTTGTCACTGAAAACTGTAGTGATATGCGAAATTATTACTTCATGTGTCTAGCTAATGCTAATCATGATGTAACAGTATTTCGTGCGTGAAACCATTGTATGCTCGTTTCTGTTTGAAAACCCTGAAAGTTCTCCAGTTGTAGTGTGTATTAGTTCTATTTAATATAAATAAAACTGTTGAAGAGTGTTAAGTTGTAAACTAAAGGTGATTTATACTTATTGTGAGTCCTATAACCATGCTTGATATGACTAAAGACCTTTCCAACGTTCTTCAGGTGTCAAGTTAAATGACATTTGTCACCCTAGGCATGCCTGCGCAACTGTAGCTAGCAGTTGGGTTGTGGGATTGTCAATCCCGAATAGATCTATTCACAAATCTCACGCTCTCCTTCCAGGAGACTCTGGTTATACTATGGTAGGATTTATCCCTGTACACCTAAGGGTACAGTAGTGAAGTAGCGCCTCACAGTATCGTACAATCTAGTTTACATGTAGTGTAATAGCGTTCTACTGTAGTGAAAATCCGTAATGTATACCGTTTGTAGTGATAATTTTAGTTATGAATACCATGAATAAGTAGCGATGGAATTTGTAAACTGTTTCTGTCTTAGTGCACATGTTCAGTAGTGAAAGTTTCTGTACTTGTTATGTTTATAAATTTCCCTAAACTATACCGATTATAGTTTGCATGTTTAGTGAATAGCGTGTCCGGAAAACTATGCAATTTTAGTGAAAACGTCCCTTATGCTCAATACAGTACAAAAGGGTTAAAGTATGAGGTTTGCATAAGTTTTTGAAAACATTTATGTTTAGCTTGTATCCCCCCCCTGAAAACATTGAAAACATGGAAAATGTAGGGGTATGAACTCACAGTTGTTGCGTGAAAGCGTTGACCGAAATGAAGATCCTCGAGTTGTTGCACGTGACACTTAACGAAATCCTATTATCAAATAAATACATATATGTATCTAAATTAGTGATTTCGTTAGATAAAGGGTTAGAGGAACACTTGTATTCAGTTGAGGAATGTTACCGGGAATTGATCGAATCGATGAAAGTGGGTTTTCAGCCAAAAGCACCACTTAAAAGGTGTTTACGGCCGTGAACAAGGGTTTACGGTCGACAGACAGTTTACGGCCGTGAACAGGGTTTACGGTTTCTGAAGGCTCGGTGAGTTTACGGTCTTTGAAGGCTTGGACCGTAAACTCAAGAACAGGGTTTACGGTCTTTGAAGATGGACCGTAAACTCAAGAACACTGGTGCTGATTTCGAAGAGATAAGCGTTTCCAGACGTTCCGAAGTGACTCCAAACGGTGCTTCTCGATGTTTCCCGAAGTTTGAAGGTGTTTTTAGGTGTTTACGGTCAAGGTTCTTAGAGAGAGAAGGAGAGAGTTTTTGGCTAGAAATGTTCAAATGAAGGTGGATGTCTCGTATTTATAGGGGTTTTGTGGTCGGTGGTGGGGGGTCCACTCTTTACTGGCCATAAACGGGTTTACGGTCGTAAACGAGTTTACGGTCGTAAACTAGTTTACGGTCGTAACCTCACTTAGGATGGAATTGTTTGGTTTTTCGAGATATTCGGGTTCCTGCGCGATTTTTGGTTCCGACTTGTAAATAATTTAGTTATATATAACTAGATTATTTTCTAAACCAAGAAGTTTGACGGAAAAGTTAATGAATTTGAAATTTTATTAACGGAAATCGCGTAACGGAAACGAACAAAGTTTCGGGTTGTCACATCATCCCCCCGTTAGAGGGAATTTCGTCCCGAAATTCGAACATAGAATATAAATCATGGATTAGGAAAGAGATGCGGATATTTCTGTTTCATCTGATCTTCGCGCTCCCAAGTGAATTCAGGTCCCCGCTTAGCATTCCATCGAACCTTCACTATCGGGATGCGACTTTGTTTCGTTCGTTTGATCTCTCTGTCCATGATTTCGACTGGTTGTTCCACGAAGTTGAGGTTCTTTTCCATTCCTCTAAATGCTTCACCCGGCATGTTCTCTGGTTTTAAGGCTTCCAGCTGAGCCTCCTTGATTTGTGCGGATAAATGGGAATGGATAGTCATGGTCAGTGTCTTCACCTTACGCCCTGAATACTCCTTTCGACTGAGGGCATCCGCTGCCACATTGGCCTTGCCGGGATGATAGCGAATTTCGCACTCGTAGTCATTGAGTAGCTCTACCCATCGCCGTTGTCTCATGTTTAACTCCTTTTGATCAAGAATATGCTGCAAGCTCTTATGGTCGGTAAAGATAGTGCACTTGGTTCCATAGAGATAGTGTCTCCAGATCTTTAACGCAAAGACCACTGCTCCAAATTCTAAATCATGAGTTGTGTAATTTACCTCATGTGTTTTCAACTGTCTTGAGGCATAGGCGATGACCTTTCCTCTCTGCATGAGCACACACCCTAGGCCCTGATTGGATGCATCACAATAGACTACGAAGTCTTCCGTCCCTTCAGGCAGGGACAAGATAGGTGCGCTGCATAGGGCATGTTTCAAGGTTTGAAACGCAGTGTCTTGCTTAACTCCCCAACTAAAGGTTACACCCTTTTGTGTCAGGGTAGTTAAAGGCTTTGCGATTTTGGAGAAATTCTGGATAAACCGGTGATAATAGCCCGCGAGACCCAAGAATTGTCGGATTTCTGTGGGTGTCTTTGTGTTGGATTA